CCCCAAAACCCCAAAACCCCAAAACCCCTAATGCTTTAGTTGTTATGTCTCCGTTAAATTATATAAATGCAAAATTAAATGTAAATTTAGATATTTTTTGCGCTACTACAATGCTTTAGTACACACATATTTACATAAAATGCCCCTTAGTCTGGGAAAATGAAAGTTTTCATTTAAATTAATTTCAATTGATATTGATTTCCTGAGATTCTCAGCATCTGATGATCTTTGCAAACTTTTTAATCTCAAGTTCCCAGTATTTCATATCATTATTGCCCTTATTTACTTCCTATTAAATAGTAAGAACGAAAAAATATTACCTTGAATAAATAATTGTCATCTTTGGTTGTAATTTCAATATGATTTCTGGACTTTCCAAGGATCTTAACAAAGATACCTTTGTTTTTAAGATCAATGTAACCTCTGATTTGATCTAAATTCTTTGGATCAGTATACGAAAGTATTCCTTTCGCATTAAGGGTCAAGATTCTATTGTTATAAAATAACAAGCCTTTTTTCTTCACAAGGCCTGTCTTGAGGATAGGACAATCCTCATCTTGATTGTCACCACCAACTGTAAAGTCTTGGTAACTTGTAGACCGCTTGCGACTTTGTCGCTTCTTTTAATTGCTTTGATTTTCAGCAATATCAAAAGAGTGATTACCCATATTAATTCCATTGAAATTAATATCAGAATAGGATATCTCAGATGATTTTACATCATCGTCAATTTCTCCGTTTCTTTCTGTCGAAACATCATTGACGCTTTTGCAATCTTTCTATCTGGTAACTGGACTCATATCTCCTCCGTTTGAAATAAAAGAGGAAGAATATATTGGGCTTCTTACCACTGATGGCACTTTGTAGGGAACTTGCACAGAAAAAAGTGTTTTGAAGTCAATTTCCTCAAAGAACTTGTGATTTTTTAACTCTTCTAAATTGAAAGCCCCAATTCTCTCCTCTGGATTCTTTTTAAGTAATTTAGTAATAAGATCTCTTGCGTCTTCGGGTATGTTTAATGGAAAATCTATTTCTTATTGCTTTAAAATGTTTTCGAAAGTTACATACTCACTTAATCCTTTGAATGGGGTCTTTCCAGTGAATAATTGGAATATTATAATGCCTAAACTCCAAAGATCAGCTGAATATGTCGGATCTAACTTCTTAAGAATTTCAGGGGCAACATATTCCTCTGTTCCAACCATAGAGTAATTTCTTTTTTCTTGATACTCTTTATCAAGTTACTATTGTTACAAATCTTGCTATCTACCGAAAAATTCTTATTAAGAAGATTTTTTTCTCGGTATCTTTTTGGCAAGTTCAGGATTAAGAATTTTTGAAGTAGCGAAATCTATCAATTTAAGATGATATTTCTCGTCTAAAAGTATATTTCCTGGCTTAAGATCTCTATGAATAATTTATTTTTGCCTTAGGTATTCTAGAGCTAGGACTATCTCAGCTGAATAATGCTAGCATAGTTTCTTAGATAAGTATTTCTCCCTCTTGAGTAGGTCAAATAGTGAACCATTCGGTATATATTCGAGTAGTAGATAAAGTTTTAATTAGTCTTAGAAAGATTGATAGAACTTAATAATAGATTAATTTCTCAAATAGGTAAGAACATTTTTCTCAATGTGTACTTCATGCTATTTTTCTTCAAGCATTATAAGCTTTTTCTCAATGACTTTCAAAGCGTAATATCTGCTTGTCTAAAGACCAGAAGATTATTCAAAGTTTGCCCCATTAGTTTTAAGCTAATTCAAATCTATCTCAGAATTAGAAATAGTATCAGATTCTTGCTATATATTACTAGAGCTCTCATGTCTGCGTAACTTTTGTGAAACTTTAAAGACTTTTCCGAAGGCACCTTAACCAGCCACAGAAATTATTTGTAAATCGGAAAGTACTAATTTGTTCTGGGTACTTGTTGGAGAAGTAGGAGTAGCATAACCACTCTAGCTGATGCATTAATCATGATTAGTAATAGAAGCCGCGCTTTTGCTGAACTTTATACCGTTTGCTGGTCGAATTCTTGGCTACAATAACGTATCATCTGATTTTTAGTGTTCAAGGGAGACATCTGAGATATTATCTGCAGAGATCTTGCGATCTTGATAATTATCTTAGATGACAGATTTCATTTTCTTATTTAATTCAAATGGCGATATGAACATTTAGCTTCTCTGATTCTTTTCCTTTTTCTACTCGTTAATAGCCATTCGGACTTTGTCTGCCAAGCTTACTGTCTAAAGAGTTATCAATTAAATAGTTGAAATAATTACCTCATGATCATCCTGTTGTTATGAAGTGCAGCAAGTTTCAATTTTTGAAAAATTGATCGCTTATTGGATTCGTAGCGGCATCTTGGAATCATCAGGTAAGTCCCGGTAGCAATCAGATGGCTATACGGAGTCTGGAAAATCCTCATCTGAAGGCCTTCCGTATGATATTGACTTGCTATTACTATTATTAGTAGACGGGGTGAGGAAACATTAATAAGTTGGGGTGTTTTATAAATTATGATATAAAGATTGTACTCCCTCTTCGTTTAGATTGAAGAGCATTATTACAATAAAGTAGATAAAAATATTGATTATTTAAGAGTACGCAAGACTATTATATTATACTAAAATATCTGATTATTTTCATTTTAGCTTACCTAATTTTTCTTCTATATATGACGTCAGGGGTTTTGGGGTTTTGGGGTTTTGGGGAGATCGGAAGAGCACACGTCTGAA